CATCCGGCAGCTCAGCGACTAGGTAAGTATAGCAACGTCCACCAGCGACCACTTGCGTTCCAGCATCCGGCAGCTCAGCGACTAGGTAAGTATAGAACCGAGCTTGCGCCCGTCACCAGCGACCATCAGCGTCCAGCAGTATCTCGGGGGTTAGGGAAGTATAGGTATCGATCTAGCAAGCCAGCGTCTGCCCACGTCCACTAGCGATCAGCAGCGTCAGGAAAGGAGTGTGGGGTGATAGGAGAGTAGCAGACAGCTGGCACCCTCCCATCCCGCCATACTCTCTACCAGCAGTGTGTTACTGTCCTAGCTCCCCATGCTCTCTACTCCAGCTGTTGGACGCTAGTAGACGCCGCTGGTCGCTGCCACAAAGTATGAACGCAGCCTACCCGATCGCGGACAATGACAAATAAGAGGCAGCTGACTTCTTCTAGCCCTATTCCTCAACCCACCCCTGACCATGACAGCAGTGATACGGTACAACCAGATTCAAATGAATATTTATAACGTTATGAAGGAACTTCATCACACTACGAATAAATTGAGACAGTCGTTTGGAACCTAGCACAGTACCTACACGTTCATCACGAATCTACAATTCGCAATTTAAAACTGGCGAGCGAAAACCAGGCTTTACTCCAGAAATTGAACAAATTAAGAAAACGAAGCGAATTACTGTACAATGTAGTACACAGCTCCTATACCCGGAATTCTTATTAACAGTCAAATTGCTGATTTGGCATCATATAAAACATCATCCAGTTAACAGAAATCATGTATAAAAAAAGAATATGAAAGGGAAATGTACGCGAAAACAAGTGCAAAGGCCAATCAAAATGAGAGGATACGCCATCAAGTCGTGCAAATGAGTGGGAATTAATGAATGAATGTATGTATTAGACAAGTACTACGTCTGCTGATATCACCACATAACGGCAACCGGGAAAATATTCAGTAAACTAGATGGAGTTCGGATTTCTCTTGTGAGCACTAGGTGCTCCTGCTGAACGACAAGTCGCAACAGCTTCAGAAAATAGCAACAGCACAAATGAACGAAAAAAATGTAACAAAATAGCAAAGCGTAAGGGTATCACATCCTATTAGTGCGCCTGAGCACTTGTAACGTTACCCCATGACGTCGGCACGATTCCGTCGCGAAATCCTGTCGGTGAACTCATGATGTTGGGTGAATTCACATCTCGTTTCATCAACGTGTTCGGAACCTGCGAAAAATGCCTAATGAAACTGAATCTGACGAATATTTGATATCGTGGCTATCAGTCAGGCGTGGAATGAGCCCGGTCCAGGTGCGATTTCTGCCAATAGTGATCGGTCAGTGATCGATTAGAAAAGAAAGAAAGAGACGTAGGAAACACTGCGAGTGGGCACACTTCATGCCTCTTAAGACCGCCCCGACTGATTGCGACGATATCAACTGTAATGACCGCCTACTATCTTGCACTAGGTCCATAATGAGATATCACGCGACAGAATCGCTGGTCTATTTATACTATTTCCGCTTTGAGTCAAACACTTTCAAACAAATCAGACACATCGAGCAGTTTACAAACAGGACCACACTACGTACTGCTACAAGGCCCGCCCCGAAACTTCCGCCCACCTTTCGGAGCAGTCATTGCTCTCCGAAATTCGTTTTGTATATTCTGCTTCTATTACATTCTTGCGAAGAAGACGAGGAACACCAGCTCCGTGCCCGACCTTCGCCGCGGTCCGTGCCTTTGACGTACGCCTCAGAGACTTGGACTCTACGAAAGCAGGATGAGCGTGCGGTCGGCGTTATCCAACGCGCCATCGAAAGGGCGATGCTCCGAGTTGCCTGCAAGCAAGTGAGAGAGGAATCGGAGCTCAGCCCACTCCGCCCGGCGATCGAAGAGGGAGAGATGCCGCCGCATTTGCCAAGGTTTCACAAATATCAGGCGGGCCGGGCCGTAATGCGGCGCTTCGAGGACCAGAACGATCACGATCGTTCCACGGCATGTCAAGCGAACGCCTGGACGACTGCCTATGCGATGGTCAGACCTCTTCGTGAAAGCTCTGAACGAAATGGTATGAAGTTCATCGTGTCCCTCCGAGCAGGCAGAGAGATCCTATTTGGGCACTTCTTGCACGTTGCAGGGACGAATGGAGACGTTAGTGGCGCCCGCTCGAGGAACTCGATGATCAGCGGGAGCACAGATGACATAGGTGATGACTTTCTTGCACTTCTGCTTTTTCGCTTATACCCACTAACTGAAAGGGATGGTCACCGACACAGACAGGACTCCGCACACTTTTGAGGAATATTGTGAAAGTGGAATTTGTATGGATTTTTCGACGTCACTCTTTTCCCGTTCAGTATTCGTGAAACGAATACTCTCACAAATAAACATTCACTGGCACATTGCGCCCCGCTCCCACGACCACGCCCACTTCTGCGACTTTGCGATTTTTTTTGAGGAATTTTATCCTTTTCTTTGAAACTTCCGCCTTTTCAGATTGCAACGAGTAGATCCGCTCCTTATTGGAAGCCCCGATCACTTCACAGAGCAACGCCTACTATTGAGAAATGATCGGTAGGTTCGAATCCGCACTGGAAGGTTATGGTCTCACTCGTCATTCGGAACAAACTTTCCTGGTTTTTAGTTCAGCGTGTGTTTCTTTTTCGAGTGTTGGGGCGAGGGTTGTAGCCTTACCTAGTGCGGTCTAGTTTGTCAACTGCCCGATGTGGGGGATGGGGGGGGGGGGGAAGAAGCGCCCGATTTGGTTTTAAAAAGGTCCTATTTAAAGTGAAAATTGTACTCAAACTGAACTACAAACGCATTTTCTGCAACAAAAATAAAATTGTAACCATGCTCACCTTCCCAGGTCTCGCCCATGTGCAGATAAAACCTTCCTGGCACGCGGTGACAAAGCAGTCCTTGCGGAATTCGAGTACTGTCAACCGCTCGTGCGCGATCTTCTTGCATATCAGAGGCTCTTTAATGAACAATAGAAATAGGCGGGAAATACTGAGATTTCAGTTTTCTCACCAATAACAGGGACATCTTCCATGCGTGGACACACTCGTGTTCCTAGAAGTTTCGCTTCATCAAGGGCAGCATTCGTTAGTGATGCTGGAGACTCAAGACGACGCCTTCAAGGAAAGAAATGAGAAACTTAAAACAGCTTAAGGTTAAACAAGTTGTAAATTTCAATGAAAAAGTAACGTCTTTGGTATGAATAGAAATCACTAGAAGGCTTACCGATCGCTACTTGACCCGCCCAATCGTCCCAACGTAAATCCTCTTCGATGAAAACCTCGTTTCTTTTTCGGTTTGGCGCTTCCAGTTGACTGGGCAGGAGATGCTTCGCAAAGGGGGTCAAGGCGTCCTGATGATGACGTCTGCAACAACTCATGAAATGACTATTTCAATAAATTGAGGGCAGATATTGATGAGAAGGCGCAGTTCGGCATGTGGGGGATCCTGCTGGTTCCCACGAAGCGCTGTCGATGACTCCTGGGGAGACCTGCAACTTCCTATAGGTATGCAGAAACATGAGTTTCTTTCTCAGCTAACAAGAAGTACAAGAACTTAGTAGACCCACTTACAGTCAAGCGTGTCAAGAATGAAAAACGTGTAATCCAACAGAGCCTAGCAGAAGGGAAACTAGGCAGGAGTGCAAAGTATTGCCCGGCTCCGACCGAACAACGCCATAGAGACTGATGACAGAGCTAGATTATGCTCCTGGCACGACATATAACGCAACTAGTTCAGCAGAGGGGAAGGGGGGAACTTTTTGGACCCCGACTATGCAAGGAATGTCTGCGCTCTATGCGAAACATTTATCAGGGAATGCAGAGCAAACTTTTGGACAAATGGATTGGCTTAGCCCTCTGGCTTTGCTTTCCCTTGAACAGAACGAAAGTTCTGATCCCCTAGCTCACACAATTACTTCCTTTAGTTCCTTCCATCCCTACCTCCCCCCCCAAATATTAGCATGAGTGTCGTGCAGCAAGCGAAAAATGAGCAAAAAATAAAGCTGAAGGGTTTCGTAACATTATGAGAGCTCGGAGGAAAAAATTCTTCGGTATCAATTACATGAAACGTACCCCCCCCCTCCACTCACCGCAAAAAAAAAACGGTGAGTCAACCTCACTTGCGCCGCGTTCCAAGTAACAGAATATAAAAAATAAAAAAGAGAATAAACAAAAAACATGAAGCATTCCATAGTGCATCAAAATGAGTCATCTTCGCAAAAAAAAGAAGCAGAACGAAACCTGAATCTCTAGGCCCAACATGGGTGCAATGATTGTTGAGTTGCGATGTCGCTGTACATTGGCGGGCTAAACAAGAAAATAAGAAATTTGTTCAAGGAAAACCCTGAGTTGAAAAGGCAAACCTTCAGCATATCCTCCGTTATATCCCACAAACACAGCTGTGTATCATGCCCAACACTTCCTATACGATAGCACACACCGCCACAGCCCTGAAATGCCAACGGTCTTGACAGAATTGCGACTAATCGTAAACCACTGTTTTTCTCTTTTTCCAATGGGTACTTCTGGTAAAACAGAAAAAGAGATTATCATATGAATAGGGTACTTCTGGTAAAACAGGAAAAGAGATTATCATATGAATAAAACAACTTTTGGAACTACATATGCTCCATTAAAAAGGAGCAAAACAACGTGGGCGTTCATGACCTCTGAGTGGGGGGGGCACCCTATAAGCGCATGTCAGCATACAAAATCCTTTACACTGTGTACAAAATAGAGAACAACCTGGTTAACACCCTGTAAGCCTTGTTGTCACCTGTCAAGCACCAGTAAACTGCTGTCAAACTTGTAAAACGAGTGGTTAAGATTTGGAGAAATTGGAGAAGTGGCGTTCCACTGAATTACACCACTTATTCAAGCTTGACAGGAGGTTACAGGATACTTGGCAGGGTTTACAGGACTTGCTGGTGAGACACGATTGTCAGAACATGAAAGAAAAAACAAAGGACACATACGCATATGGTTAAACGCTCTACACGTGTGACACTCCGCCCCCTATCTCACGCAAGTTATGAGCGCCCGAATGCGTCGAAGAATTCACACCGGAAAATCAAAATCGTACCTTTCGCCTCTACCTGCGGTTAACGGAGATGTCAAACTTTCCCCTCCCCCCACTCTGCGAACATTGAAAGCAATTATCATACAAACATGTGTATTCGGGACGCTCAGACTCAGACGGCTCGAACACTGTATCTGTTTGCGCTTAACCATGGCGCCATCGGGATGCGCTCTTAACGCTTCTCAGCTCAATGGGCTTACGCTTACAAAAGCTACTGAGTGAGATGGTTTATTGTACGGTGCTAATAGCGTAAATGGATATCTTTACCGCCCGGTAAGCGAGAGATGGCGGATCAAGTCCGTCTTTACCTTTGCGCATAGCTCAGCATTACGTTTTAAAACATTCGAGTCGCGACCCCCCCCCCCACGACGACCGTTAAACGGCGTGCACAATAAATTAATTTCATTGAAACCACACAAAGAAAGCACGAAATATAACGAAAGTAAGAAAAGATGATAAAAGGAAGCGTATCGGGTGAAGAAAACATGGAGCAGTTCTTCTTGTTGGGGGCACCGAATGGTACCCAGATAAGCTTGTACAGGCTTTTTGTGGAGACCTGTGGAACCTTGGGATCAAAGTGGCTCACTTGGCAAACTTCGCAACTTTACAAGAGTTTACAGGTCTCTCCAAAGTGAGGTCGGTTGTTTGACATGAACTAAAAAAAGAAATAGTAGAAGTGCAAAATGCCCCCTTCCAAGCCGAACAGCGCCGAAAACGTTTTCAAATCTAAACACAGTAGAAAAAAATACTCGACTCACACGACCAGTTCCATTAATTGTACCAAATGAAGCGAAAGAGCATCGCGAAAAGGAAGATGTTTGCAAAGGAGGTCTACGCACATTTGCTGTAATTCGATCTTTTTTATGAACACCATATTCAAACAAAATCTTAAACGCCTACGTTTTATAACTGGAGTAGGCGCATTACTATCCTGTCCGTTTTGAATGATTCCTGTGGAATGAGCAATTTTCTCATCATCTGAACCGATGTCCAAAGCTCCTAGTCCGTTCAGTTCATGTTCACCATCAACAGTACACATATATGGATCAAATTGCACCTGAAATAATTAGAAACTTTTATAATCAGAAGTGTTTAAAGGCGCTAGGACTTCAATTAATAATCTAACCTAAGAAATCTAATCTAAGAAATAACCTGAGAAATCCAGCTTTTATGTCCTTGACCACGACAAACCACGCGTTTCTCTTGAACATTATAAACAGTGAGCAAATCGTCTTCACCACCAGTTACTATTAACTTCGCATCTGGGCTCCATCCAAGTGTGAGGAGACCACCTAGAGCAAATTTTGCTCCGACATACGCGATTATCGTTACTAGTACACTTACCAAAGTACGATTTCATATACGACAGCAATTCCATCTGATGATAATTGAATATTCGTAAGTAGCCATCCTTAAAAAAGATGATAATCAAAATCATGCCAATGAAACAACAACATAACGCAAGAAATCGGTGAACTGTAGCAGAGAGAGCAAGAAAGGAGGCGCTAGCACGAAGGAACATGATGCTCAGCTCCTACCTGAAGGCAGTGGGCACGATTTCTGGAGGGCGGGCGGTTGTCGCCAGCGACATTGGTGGAAAGCCTGAGTGAAGTGTGGCTGAACGCGCTCTCACAACCCTTCCACCAATGACGCTGGCAACAACCGCCCGCCTCCAGCAACCGTGCCCACTGCCTTTCAGTGGAAACCATGCCTCGCAGGGATCGTGACCGCTCTACAGCTATCAAAGAACGTTCAAGAATTAAAGCTAAAGAATGCAATGTCCTCAGCTCGTAGTGCTTAGTGGCATTTTGAGAGCCACGATTAAGAATGCATCAGAAGAACGGCTCTTCCAGCCGATGCTGACGAGTGACTGGGAGCACTGATGAGTCTTTGAAAGCTTTTGCGAACATGTTTATTATGGGTCAGGATTCGCAAGTGCGCAGCGGGCCAGGTGTACGGTTCTGAAGGGCCTTTCTCAGGAGCGATACTCACAGGTTGACATGCCTGAACAAAGTTAAGAGGGAATAGATGCGATGCGGGGCGCGTGGTGCGTTGAAGATCCACAGCGAGGTGGGGGCGTATTTACTCGCTGGAGCGAAGGGGTCGTGCTTGCCTTCGGGAGAAACGTGTCCGGTTTTCGACTTTTCTCAATATTTCCTGTTTCGCATGCGCTGTTGATTCCCTTCCCCCAATCTCCTCAGTTCAGCGGGAATTTTTTTGCGGAACAATTGGAGAAATTTGAGGAAAACTGCGCGGAAAAGTGGTTTAAAGGAAATGGAGAGTCAGGAAGATCGGCGGGCGATGAAGCGGACAAGAAGGCGGGTCCTAACCAGAATAGAATCGGTGAAGTGGAGGGGGGGGGGTCGTGCAAAAAGTTCCGTAACGGCAGGAGGGCATAAGCACGTTGGACTCAGATGAAATTGGAATCAGCGCTTGCAAAAGCACGGCGACATACTAAGGTGGCCAAAAGTTAACTCCATGCCAAGTCTCCAGTACCTCGATATTCCCCGGAAAAATGACCACGAGCAAAACAAAAATTAAGGGAGGTCATCAGGAAAGGACTCTCCGATCTTATCACCACCGCTATACCACTAAACCAAGGACTGAAAGGGACCAACTAGCAACATCTTTACTTTACTTTATTATTATCGGCAGCGAAATAAACAGCGAAACAAAGATATAGTCAAGGAGAGGAAACACCGATTTTTGATAAACAGTTAAGAAAACAGGAAGGGGGGGGGTAAACGGGTGCGACAGGGAGGCGCGGATTTTTGCAGCTTGGAAGGACAGTGGCCGCCCAACACTGTAAGTTCGACAGCGAGCATCATTCGAACCCCGGATACCCCGTCAACCTCGCTGCGGCCCGGCTCCCATTATCGCTTGAGCAGGGAAGGGGAAGTGGGCGAATATCTGACAGGAATAGCGAACTTTGCAGCAGCGTATATTAATTACTCTGGAGAACTGATAAAATGAGAAACTTACATGTCCTACAGTAGCCAACATCTTCGCATCTGGTCCTGAGAAAGCAAACTGATTGATGCCGCCCTCACCGATTTGCCAGCGATACACAGGATTTCTTGTTGTTTTCGCTTTGCACATATACACCGAATATTTATCGCCCTAAAAATATTCCGATATAATCTCAAGTACAAGTTTTTTCGCCATAAACAGGTTTACTCTGGAAAACTGCTTTACAGCATACCAAGTTCACAAACGATTTAGAAACATAGGACATCTACAGCTAGCTAAGGCGAGCACGTGCACACAGATTTCTCCCAGGCGCGGTTCGGCGACGAGAAGGTGAGGGGGGGGGCTAACACTTCCGCTGCCTCCCGTTGCCATGTCGAGCCATAAAGTAGAGATTTGTGAAACCTTGTGAAGCCATGAAATGATGCCGTAAAGTTTATGGAGCTACTTGTCAGCCTTTGTAAAAATCTGCCATGTCCTGTAAAGCAATGAACACGACTATGAGTAGGAATCCCCCCTTCCCCACCCCATGCGTCCAAAATGGATTACATGCTTTTCTGAAGATGTATGGCCAAATCGGCTCGAAAGAACAAGTGAGAAGATACGGAACGTTGACATGCTCCCAGCTTCATTAAGAAGTGTAACTTTAGGAATCTCAAGTAACCAAGGTACATGATCACGTTGTGGACCCCCGAACATTCTGCCTTGGTGCGAACTCCTTCTCCAACCACCTACCATCTTACTAAAACTGTACCAGACTTTACCAAGTTTTCCTGAAATTCAGCGCTCCCCGTTGATCAAGATGGGCTTATTGTGCATGAAACATGAGAAATATACAGTGAAAATAAATTTTTTTGGAGAAATAATACGACGCCCTCTCAGCGCCAGTCAAAGACGACTCCTGCGGTGTGAGTTGCACAATGGGTGGTGTGCCCTGAACTTGGAGCATACGATAATTAATACCTGTTTGAAAGCTTGATAAACCGGAGGCGCTAGCGGACATTGTAATTCTTCGTTGTACAGGTACATATAGCCACTGCTGTACGAAACCAAGAAATGCTGCCTTTGACCTGAATTGGATCGTTGGGAACTCGAGCAAGACAGCGGAAAAAAAAGCTTATT